CTGTGCTTCTGGGAAGGAGCCAGGTAAAGATCCCAGTCACACAAAGAAGAAAGAGAACGGAGATCGGTTGTGTGTTCCCAAAATTTTTTTTGGGACACGAACACACAAGCAAATCAGCCAGATCAGCAGGGAGCTGAAGAGGACAGCGTATTCCTGTGTGCCCATGACAATCCTGTCCAGCAGGGATTACACCTGCATTCATCCTGTGGTGTCCAACAGTGGCAACAGGAGTGAGATGTGTGTAGAGTTGCTGGAAGGAAAACATGTGAGTAATTTGATTTGAGAAAATGAGCATTCATGAAACAAAGTCAGATTTAACAGCTGGAATGAGTAATATTTTTGCTTCTTTATATTATATTGGTTAAATGCCACCTGGTGGCATTAAAATTAAATATTAATTGTTAGAAAATGTTGATACACTGTAAAAACTTATGGTGGCAGGAATAAGATTTATGACTGCCAGGTTAATGGTGTAATAAGATTTAAATTATATCTGGGTTTATAAATGAAGAAGAAAGAAGTGTCCTTTATTGACGTACATTTAGAAACATGGATTTACATGACATGAGCTGTTATTGTCTGGCATAAAAAGCAGCTGTTAGAAACGTTTCTGAGAAACAGCCAAATGCATGGAACTTTGGCAGATTTTAGCCTGTTTGGTTTTTGTTATTTCTTGTACCCACTAAGTCTGTGCACTTGTTTGCTTTCAGGGCAAGTCCTGCTCTTTTTACCACGGTGTTCACAAGCTGAGTGAGCAGCCTGCCCTGCAGCCTGGCCATGGGCTGTACCAGGCCTGGGACATTGAGGACCTGGTGAGGCTGGGCAGGAAACTTCGTGCCTGCCCCTACTTTGCAGCCAGGGAGCTGATGGTGGGGGCAGACATCGTCTTCTGTCCCTACAACTATCTGCTGGACCCACAGATCCGGGACAGCGTGAGTACACTGGGGACAAGTGGCAAGAAGTTAAAAAGAATTTTAAATAAATTATCCACTGAATGTCTTGTTTCTGTGGTTAACTGACATCCCATTCATGTCCAAAATCATATCTATAAAACTGCTGGGTTTTTCCCCTTGGATATTTTCTAGTTTATGAAAATTGATCCAAAACCTGAAAAGCTTCATTTGCACTGTGTTGAAGAATATCCATTTTTTAACAGGCTCCTGTTAGTTGCTGTTTCTCATGTCTTTCACTCTGTTTGACCAGACAATAATGTTCTTTTTTAGATGGACATTAACCTGAAGGACCAAGTAGTCATTTTGGATGAAGCCCACAACATTGAGGACTGTGCTCGGGAGTCCGTGAGCTACGGGGTCAGCGAGAGGCAGCTGCGCGCTGCCCGCGAGGAGCTCGACTTCATGGTCAGCAACAGCATCAGGCAGAAGCACCACGAGCCCCTCCGAGCTGTCTGCTGCTCCCTGATCAAGTAAGGCAACCTTTCATTGCTTTCTATCAATATTTATCAAATTACCTTTAGGTGTATGGTATGGTGTTACTCTGTCACATCAGAGAAATTCAACAAAGGTACACGTACAGCTCTGCAGTTGTTTGATTTATGTTCATTTGAGGAATCCACAGGGTTTGATCTATTAAAAGAACTGCTGGTCTCTGTGGGGGCTTGAATATATGTTGTATTGTAAGACCTGTGTGGGTCTGAGTTGCTCCAAACGAGCTGCAGCTGCAGGGTCCTTAGTTGGGCAGCAGCTGTAGCTCGTGAAAGCAACTGAGATAAATAGGGGTGGGTCGAGAGCCCAGGAGGAGCCCCTGAGAAGACAGGAAGGACTGTGCTGCAGAGAATGGAGAAGAGCCCCAGCAGAGAGGCAAGAACAACACTGCAGCGAAGATTACAACAGGTCTCCAATGAAAAAATTAAAGTTCTCTTTTGAAAAATCTTGTGCTCTTTATGGGGCTTTTTTTGGACTCTTTATAAATGTCAGTATGAAAATTTTCATAAGAAGAATTTTTGTATTTCACACGTTTGTTTGTTTATTTGACAAATAATAATAGCATTATTTTGTCAAAGAATTAAGTTAATGTTTATAGAATGCTTTCAGAGCCTTGGACAGAAAGTATTTGGAATCTGTTCTTGGAATCAGATTGGAATCAACTGAAGTCTTCCCAGTTGAAAGTGAATTTGTCAGTCATGGCCTTTGTTTTCCCTGGGAAACAACTTCCTGAGCAGAAGCTGAAAATCCTGAGAGGGGATGTAACAAAAGCAAATGGGCAGAAGCCCAGGAGGAAACAAGAGATCCAGGGCAAAGTCTTTTGGGGGAAGTAGAGTTATCAAAGTCAGCAGAAAAAAGCAAATAAGCTACAAGTGCTTTGCAGTTAACTGAGTTCTGCTCCAGTGGGAGCAGAATCTTCATTTTGCTGCAGCAGCACGGGAGGAGTTCCCTCTCCATCCTCACTCCCTGCTCACAGCTGATGTTTGTGTCACACACAGACAAGGGGCTTTTCTGCTTGGCAGAAGCCAATTCTCCTACCTTGGATATTTCAAATGTTAAACTTCAGTAAAAGATAAGAACAGCATGGCTGAAGATTTGATTGCCTCAAGCTTTTTAACCTTATCAGGAAAACTGAGGTTGATTGTCTTGGCAAATCTGCCAGCAGCCTGAAAAGCAGCTGCTTTTCATGCAGAAGACTGGGTGTAAATAGCCAGTAATAGGTAAAATGCATCTGCACAGTGCCATGGCTTTGCCAAATGCATGGGCAGCTGTCAGATCTCAGCAGCTCAGGACTGAGGTGCCACCGAGAGCACCCTTGGGGGGCTCGGGAGTCCTGGAATGTTCCAGAAGTGTCTGGTGGCTGGACTTTGATCCCACACAGGAGACGACACCTGTATGAGGACAGGAGGGTTTCACCGGGGTGAATGGTGAAGGGATTGGTTAATTA